AGGGGCGAGTCCGTTTAGAGCTTCATAGGTCAGTAAAAGAATTTTGTAATCAATGCGAAATTTAACTGGCAACCAGTGTAGGTTTGATAAAGCTGGACTGACTTGACTTTGACTTGACTGCTTAACATAAGATCTCTTACATGTAAGGCCGTCGTTGTAAATGAAATTATTACCAAACATGATTTCGATGCTCTGTGCCTCACAGAAACGTGGATTAGACCTGATGAATACTTTGATCTAAATGAAGCCACCCCCACAGGCTACAGTTATGCACATAGCCCTCATTTAAGCGGCCAGGGTGGAGGTATAGCAAACATTCATACAAAAGTTTTAGGCATGAGCCAGAAATTAGGCTACAAATTCTCTTCTTATGAAAGTCTTTTTCTTAATATAAGTGATCAAGGAACAAATAAGAATTCCTTTTCACTAATTACAATCTATAGGCCGCCAGGGCCGTATTCTTACAGGAATTTTCTGACTTTCTATCAAGTTTAATAACGTTTTCAAATAAAGCAATAATTGTCGGAGATTTTAATATCCACTTTGATAAACCACAAGATCCACCAAGTAAAGCATTTATACTTAGCCTCTGTAGGTTTCACTCAAAATATAAAGAAGTCCACTCGTTATTGCAGCCACACTTTAGACTTAATTCTGACCTTTGGTGTAAACTAGATCATTTAGCCATCTTCCCCCAGAGCACAGCAGTCTCAGATCATTACCTAATCTCATATGAAATTTGCTTAGTGGTAAGCTATGTTCATCACCATGCTATCGTGTTAAGCAGACTATAACTTCCTCCACAGCTGGTAGCTTTATCAGAAAACTCCCACAAGTATCAGCTGTCAGTCGCTTCCCACTGAATTAGATATTATGACCAAGTGCTTAGAAAACACTTTTTGATCTACTCTAGATAATGTGGCTCCATTAAAAAAGTAAAATAATAAGGCAGAAAAAGCTTGCCCCGTGGTACAATGATCATACTCGAGCTTTAAAACAGACTGTCAGACAACTAGAGCAAAAAAGGTGCCTGACTAAACTAGAAGTGTTCCAGCCTGCCTGGAGGGAGAGCCTTATAGACTATAGAAGAACACTTACTGCAGCACGCTCTGCCTATTTCTCCTCTCTCACTGAGAATAATAAGAATAATCCTAGATTATTAACAGTTACTGAACCCCATATGCCATTAGCCTATAGCAGCAGTGATTTTATGAATTTCTTTAGTAATAAAAATGAAAAAATGAGGCAGAAAATTCAGAACGCAGTTATTCTCTACAAATGTGCTGCGTTATAATGCCAATCTAACTCTTCAGACTACTGTAACTACTGCAGAGAGGCTGGAATCATTTACCTTACTTTAACAAAATGAACTAAAAAATATTTCCGTAAAATCTTCTACTTGTATAATAGATCTGATTCCTACAGGTTTACTCAAAGACATTTTGCCAGAAATAATCAAGCCTATTCTCTGTCAATAATAAACTCCTCTCTTAGCCTTGGCTATATCCCAAAAACTCTTAAAATAACAGTAATTACACCTCTGATTAAGAAAGCTAACCTTGATCCCTGCGAAATATCAAATTATAGACATATCTCGAATCTTCCCTTTGTATCAAAGATCTTGGAAAAAGTTGTGGCAAAACAATTAAGTTCCTATTAGCACAGGAATCTTGTACATAAAAAATTTAAGTCTGGTTTTAGGCCACATCATAGTACAGAGACAGCACTTGTGAAAATTGTAAACAATTTCTTATTATTCTCTGACTAAGGAAATGTATCTTTGCTAGTCCTCCTTGATCTTAGTGTGGCATTTGACATGATAGACCACTCTATTTTACTAGATAGACTAGAAAACCTTGTAGGAGTAACAGGAATAGCTTTTTCCTGGTTCAGATCTTACCTGAATGATCGCTATCAGTTTGTAAATGTAAATGGTGAATCATCTGTTCTTGCAAAAGTAAAGCATGGGGTTCCACAAGACTCTGTTTTAGGATCTAAATTATTCACATTATATATGCTACCACTGGATACCATTATCAGTAAACATGACATCAATTTTCACTGCTATGCCAATGACACACAGTTATATATATCAGGCAAACCAGATGATAAACTTCAACTTAGCAAGACTGAGGACTACATAAAAGACTGGATGTTGAGTAACTTTCTCCTACTTAACTCAGATAAAACAGGGGTTCTGCTTCTTGTTCCTAAAGCTGCTAGAAACAAACTATCTAATCAAACACTTAAACTTAATAGTTTCTCTAGTTGCATCAGGTACATCTGTAAAAAAAATCTTAGTGTCACGATAGATCCCGATCTGTCCTTCAATGCACATATAATGAATATTACTAGAATAGCCTTCCTGCATCTCCGCAATATTGCTAAATTAAGAAATGCAGTGTCGCTACAGGATGCAGAAAAGCTAGTTCATGCATGTATTACCTCAAGGCTGGATTACTGTAATGCCCTGGTGTCTGGATGATCCAGCAAAAGCCCTAACAAGCTTCAGTTAGTTCAGAACCCTGCAGCCAGAGTCCTCACAAGAACCAAAAACATTGACCATATCAGCGCAGTTTTATCAACCCTACACTGGTTGCCAGTTAAATTTCGTATTGATTACAAAATTCTTTTACTGACACATGAAGCTCTAAACAGACTCGCCCCTCAGTACCCGAGTGAACTTCTCTCATACTATGAACCATCACGCCTACTTAGATCACAAGGAGCTGGCTTACTATTAGAACCTAGTTACTATAAAGTTACATCAGGGGATAGAGCCTTCTCATACAAAGCCCCCCCGGCTTTGGAATAATCTTCCAGTCAGTGTTCAGGACTCAGACACAGCCTCAGTCTTTAAGTCTAGGCTAAAAACTTACTTGTTAGTCAAGGCTTTGGTAATTAGTTTTCCCTGTTAGATAAAAGGTGCAGATCTGGGGGTTCATGGACACAGAGTATTATGGTAAACTGGAAGTGTTGGTGCTGTTGTCCCGCTGCTCTCACGCATTCACTCAAGTTTGCTGACGGTGGAGTGGAGGGGCAAGGACATCTCAGGGAGCCTCATGTCTCTGTTACCTTTCTGGTTTCTCCCTTTTAGTTAGGCTGTTACAGCTAGACCTGCCAGAGCCTGTGCCGCACTCTGTTAATACTGTAATCTATGATCAGTCACTCTTTACAGAACTAACTTGCTGTGTGTTTTCTTTTTCTTTGCCGAGTTGAACAACTCCCCATCCTGTGTGGTCTGATGCTGTTGCTTCTTCTGCCTTGATCGGGTGCCCACTGCTCGCCAGCCTTCTGGACTGTTTTGACCACCATGGAGCTCAAACTATTTAATTAACCATTGCTCCACTTGTCTTTCCCTGTTTTGTGTTCTAATATTTTATACTAATGCTGTTTGCTATCTGGTGTGGACCAGAGGAGAATGGGTTCCTCTTTTGAGTCTTGGTTCATCCCAAGGTTTCTTCCTCTTGCTCTTAAGGAGGTTTTCCTTGCCACTGTCACCATTGGCTTGCTCATGGGGGCTTGGACTACTTTGTGACAACGCCTGTTGCAAAAAGCACTATATAAATAAACTTTGACTTGACTTGAAATGCTGTAAAAATAGCGCATATACCATTAGAGGTGCACTCATTAGTGTAGTATGTGAAGTACAGAAGTGTGTGGTTTGGGAGCTAATGTTAATATGAAAAGCCATCCTACATCATGTTATGAGCTGTAACATTTTCCGTTTCAAAATGTGTGTTCTCTGGTATCGTTAATGGAGTTAGAACAGAGAAACAAGTACCTATTATTTACAGCGACCCTGTTCACATTCTAAACACCATTTAGTTAAACATTATATCGTCGTCTTAGCGTCGAGGCCACCGCGGCCTTCAAATTCAGCAAACACGGAACGTTTGCGAACAGTTTTCTGTTTTTCGTGAACATTTGACACCACTCGCAAACAGTTTCAGGAGGTAGTTCTCTGCGAACATACAGGGCAGCTGGACAAAGGGTTACTGTTAAAATGAAATGTTTACACAAAATCATTCAAATTTTAACTGTTCATAGAGAACAAGTTTGCCATAAATATTCACCACTTTTCCATCCGCTCCATCAGAGTGCATCTTCTCTGCAGCGGGGAGTACCTGCTCTTAAAGGAGAGTGGGCCTCTCACAGGAGCACGGAGAGATACTGACTTTGCTCTGTTTCAGTAAAGACCTGTTATTGCAGAATTTTGTTGCAACAGAGTGTAGACAAACAGCAGAATGCACAAAACACAGACTGCACTGTTTAAGTTAAAAATTTTAATTGATTGATTTTTTTTATTTACTTGATTAAAGGAAAATTAAATTTAGATTTGTTATATTTTATTGCTGCTACTTTGCACATCCTTGGTTTTAAATTTTGACAGGAAAAAGATGTTGTAGTTTTATTTATTTTTTGTATTAGCAGAAAAATTCATTAGAACAGTTATGAAGTTATTCATTTTTATTGTCTTGATTGTTAGTTAGCAAGTGCATAAAGCAACCTCAAGCTAAATTTAAAAGCTGATGGCTACATAAGAGTTATTTGGTAACGTAGTGATTCATAATCTCAATAATCAATTATTCAATTATTCGTTTCAGAAAATGATAAATTATTCAACTATCAATTTAACCATCTGTTGCAGTCCTACACAGAACATATCAGAGATGTGCAGTACAACACCTTGGAAGGTTGCTTAGATGCTGTATATGAATGTTGCTCTTCAAACAAATATGTAATAAGTTCACACCTCACACCCACACATTACAATTACTTAAGATATATAAAACCTTTTCACAAGGTAATTTTTCCTGGTATTATTAACATGTTTGAGTTTAGTCAACATAAACATATGTGACACAAACATTAATTTCATACATCCTCTGAAAAAGAAAAAAAATGTTTGAGAGCATCACCTTTTGTTATAAATATGTAAAAAAAAAAATTTAAAGAGAGATAAATGAGAGAGGAAAAAAAACCCTCACACATCTCACCTAGACACAGCAAGGTAGAAAATTCCAAGGGAAATCAGGGATATTCCGATGTGAAATGACACACCCACAGCACCATATTCCTTAAAAACCTTCTTCAACTGCATTGTTTTACTTTGATTCTTTTCATTCTCGGGCTCTTCATCCCCCCTTTTTGGGCTCGTAGAAGGCTGTACCTAATGAGGCAGAGAATTAAAAGTGTTGAGCAAAGATATTCATATAACTAATTTCACTAACAACAAGGGTTTTAATTTAACAATAGCATTACTCGTGCAAGGTTATTGCATAAGTGCATAATGTGTACATGACGTGATTACAAGGAGGTAAAAGACTGAGATGGATAGCATTTTCTGCTTTAGTGTGCAACAGTGAAAACAATGACACCACTGACTTAATTCACTCAGTACTAGACTCCATTTTCTCACCTGTTGCATAGTTTCTCTTCAGCAAAACCTGGTATTCATCAGATGTAACTGCCTTTTTGCTAAATTAGTCAGAGGCCTAAAGCATTTGATAGAAAAGATCCCTTTTTTAGGGGCTAAAAACAAAATTCATGGAGTACATTAATGGTTACCCATCCAGCAGACTTTATCACCAACTCATATTTAACCATGTCCCATTTAACTAATCAAGGTCTTCTAAAGGCAATATTTAGATGGACCCGATGGGGTTGTTTAGGGTTGTAGCTAAAGTACCAGGAAGGTAGCGCTGGTTACCACTGCAATTTTTGTTTGCTCCAGTATGTGCACGTTTGATTATTTATTAAATAAACAAAAGTGGAGTAATCTTTCTAATGCATGTTTGGCCTATTCAAACATCTAAGTTTAAAAGAATATACAGTTATACGAAGTGTTTGGTTGCAGTTATTGCTTCTAAAGGTGGCATCATCAGTTATTATAAAAAGGATAGTTCCACTCCTAAAATCTGATTGGCTGAGCCCGTTCGAAGCCGTTGTAAAATCCACAATATACTCCTATGACCGCTTCACAACAACTGAATTTAGTATTACTATGCCACGGCACAAAAAAAAACCCCTTGTGCTGTTAATTGAATAATCTTTGATTCTCACGCTGCTCGCATGGAGTATACTGATGAAGTAAGAACCAGTTTTTTGTTTAAACTGAGGGGCTGGCAACTTATGTTGTTAACTAGAACTAAACTGGTCAGCTAGCTAACAGGCTAAAAGATCCTCCATCATTAATATCACAACCTTGAATTAAAGTACTAATAGTATGAGTAACTGTAAAATGGCAGTATAAAAGTTTCAAAAAAATGTCACTTGAATGGATTACATGTCAGAAACAGCGCCAAGCCCAGGCTGAATCCCAAACGGCTCTGTACTCCCTAAATAGTTTGCTAGTTATGAAATTTTAGAAATTCTAGCCTCTACAGCCAAATAGTGCATCATTTATCAAGTTTGGAATTGGCCGAGTCCCAAATTACTATTTCTTAGCTGTATTTTGCACCATTGGAGTGCAGGATCCAGTATTTAAATTCTTACATAGTGCACTATGTAGGGAGCAGTGAGCCATTTGAGATTCAGCCCCAGCGCGAGAAGAGAGGCATCGCTGGATTGATGCTAAATAGGACTTGTGGTGGTAATCTGGTGACCAAAAAGTACTTATAAAGCAAATGTTTTCGCATCAATCAGTGCTGTGTTATCATATGTTCATTGTTATACAACATAAAGTAAAGAAAAAAAAAAAAAATCATGAAACAACTGCAGTATACAGAGCGATGGGGAACCAAACATTCTCCTCATTCATGGTTGCTTGATAACATTACCATACTCTAAAAGAACTACATTTCTTGGTGAACTACTTGTAGGTTATTATAAATAATAAATTATTTTCTGAAAAAGTGTATATTTAATCATATTTTATGTTGGCCACCGTTTCATAAAAGCAATAAGCCACTTGACACCATGGGTTACTGCAATTTTATCACAGGGAAGGGAGTTTTAGTTCTAAGAACATCCTTCCCGTGATAAAATCGCAGTAACCCACAGCCTCTCATGGTTTACTGCTTTATTACCCAGTATATTCATCTAAGTAACAACTGCTCTTCAGTTTATTCTTGTATATCACCCTAATGAACAAGCAGTACAATCATTGAATTTCAAACAATTTCCAAACCCTTAACTGTATACTGAAACACTACCCCGAGGTCTTTTTCTCTTCTGGCCCTATTTGAGGTGGCTGCCTGTTCCAGTAGCTCCGTGTCTGCGTCTTCTGTTTTTTGTAAATAGTGTATTTTACCCACTTTTCCTTCTTTTGTGGATATCAAGGCCTGATCTAAAGTTTTTAAAAACCTTTTATTGACTTCTTAATGGATCGTTCAACTGAATTTTCAGACTACGACTGCACTTCGCGTCCTCACTCTGTCTACACGAGGAATCAGCTGATTGCGCTGAGGAAGCCGGCAGCTTTGTTTACATTGCAGTGGCCAGTGATTCCTGCGGAGCTGAGACGTCTTTACAGGGGCTGCAGAGCGGGAGAGATACAGCGGGTAAAGAAACGGAGATACAAACCAAACCTTCTTGCAATAATTATGGGGAATGTATGGTCACTGGCTAATAAAATGGATGAACACAAACATAACGGGAATACCACGAATGCAGCATTTTGTGCTTCATGGAGTCATGGCTGAGCCTGTGCATACCTGACTCTCATGTTCATCTATACGGTTGTACTTCTGTGAGGGCGGACAGAGACCACAAACTGGTAACAAGAATGGGGTGGGCTAGCTGTGTTCGTGACATTGAACTGTGTGTTGTAGCTATGCGGCCGTACTACTTGCTGCGCGAGTTTTCCCACGCCATCCTGTGATCTGTGTACATTCCACCTTCAGCTAACATGGATGCCATCCACTCGACCATAGCAAGTGTGCAAAACCAGAGCCCTAATGCATTCATTGCAGTGTCTGGAGACTTCACGTTTCCCTCTCATCATGTCTGTCCACTTTCAGCCAGTTTGTGGACTGCAAGACAAGAAAGAATAAGACACTGGACCTGTTGTATGCCAATGTTAAAGAGACATATAAATCTACAGCTCTCCCTCCACTGGGGCGTTCAGACCATAATCTGATTCACCTCACTTCACTTTACAAGCCCCTGGTTCAAAGACAGGTAGTGACCACGAAGACAGTGAGGAAGTGGTCACCTGAGACTGTAGAAACACTGAGGGGCTGTCTTGAAGCTACACAATGGGATGCCCTATGTGAACCACATGGTGGAAGACAATGATGCAATAACATCATGCATTACCAACTACATCAACTTCTGTGTCCAAGTCTGTCTGATGCTTTCCCAACAATAAACCCTGGGTCACCAATGACTTAAAGTCTCTGCTGAATCAGAAGAGAAGAGCATTTAGGGCAGGAGATAGGAGGAACTGAAGAGGGTACAAAAAGAGCTTAAAACAGGATTAAGACAGCCAAAGAGGAGTACAAATCCAAGCTGGAAAACAAGTTAGACCCGAAAAACACTTGGGATGTGTGGAGAGGCCTAAAAGACATTACTGGCTTCAACCAACGCAGGCTTATTCTAGCAGAGGGTAAGCTTGAATGGGTAAATGAGATAAATCAATTCTTTGTGCGGTTTGACAATGGCTCCTCTGCTGCTCCACTGTGTCTGTCTCCAACACAGATTAACACACCTGCACAACAATGCCATGGGCCATCCACAGCCTCACCTTCCTCCACCACAGCCATTCACACCTGTGACCATCAGCAACCACTGTCTGAAATGAACGCCTCTCACCCACCCCCCACAATTGGAATGTCCAGTGATGGTACATTCACTACAGATCAGTTTAAGAAGGAACTGAAAAAACTCAAGCAGAGCAAAGCAGCAGGACCTGATGGCATTTAACCTAGGGTGCTGAAACTGTGCAGAGCAACTGTGTGGAATTCTTCAGCACATCTTTAATCTGAGCTGCAGCCTGAAGAGAGTCCCTGTTATGTGGAAAACATATTGTGTGGTTTCGCTCCCCAAGAAAAGGCAACCCATGGCACTGAATAACTATAGACCTGTTGCACTAACATCCCACTTAATGAAGACACTTAAAAGGCTGATGCTAGCTCATCTGAAACTTCTGGTCAGAACAGCTCTCGACCCTATGCAGTTTGCATATCAGGATGTCATTGGAGTGGATGATGCAGTTATCTACCTACTGGACAAAACATACTTTCACCTCGCCAAATCGGGCAGCACTGTGAGAATCATGTTCTTCGATTTCTCCAGTGCATTCAACACCATATAGCCTGTGCTGTTAGGGGAGAAGCTGTGGCTGATGCAGCTGGATGAATTTATTATCTCATGGATAATGGACTATCTGACTGGACGACCTCAGTATGTGCGACTGCAGGGCTGTGTCTCGGACAAGGCTGTGTGCAGTGTTGGGGCACCCTAGGGTACTGTATTAGTGCAATTCCTGTTTCAACCTGTACACCCCTGACTTCAGGTACAACACAGTCATGTCATCTGCAAAAATTCTCTGATGACACGACCATTGTGAGGTGCATGAGGAATGAACAGGAGGAGGAATACAGGAAGCTGGTGAAGGACTTTGTTAGCTGGTGTAAGCTGAACCAGCTGCAGCTAAACATCAGTAAGACTAAGGAGATGGTGTTGGACCAACACCATCTGAACCCGCCCTGGCGCCAGTCACCGTAGATGGGGTAGACGTGGAGGTGGTGGGGACCTACCAGTATCTGGTAACTTGGACAACATACTGTACATAATTTCCCCTAAAAATCTGATCTGCAGATAAACAGTGTCATATTAGTAAATAAAAGACATAGGAACAGATTTACTAAAAGAGGTGCTAATTAGTGACGGGGTGGGAGGGTCATCTACTTGAAACTTCTGTGCAAATGAAAACAGACAATTTCTTAATTAACATATGAACAGCAGAATATGTATAAAAGAATTAAAGTATAGAAGTCTGTGGTTTGGCACACAGCCAAAACCATTGTTTTAATCATTCACTGATTCTGGTTCAAATTGCATTTTATTAGGTAATTATTTGTTAGCTCAAAAGTTCAACTTACTAGATCAGAATAATGACTAATCACTAAAGAACATTACTCTTTAAGAAAGTGCAAACGAACATACACCGATCAGGCATAACATTATGACCATCTCCTTGTTTCTACGGTCATTGTCCATTTTATC